CTTCCGCCTGGTGGGCGGCCGGGACTTCAGCGCACCCCTCACCATCTCGCGGGTGAGTCGGATTTCTGCGGGGAGTCGGGGCCGTCCGGGTCTGAGACCTTGCCCTTGCGATCCACCCGGGACCAAGATCCCCGACGGGTCAGAGCTTGAAAGTGGAGGGTCGGCCTGGGTGACCCGCTCGCTGTGGAGGGGGCGTCCATCTGGCATCACCGCCCCATCCCCCTTCCCGCAGGGCCTCCCCCCCACTTCGTGGAGAGACTGCCCAAGAGTTCACACACCAGCCTCCCTCTGGCCGGCTTTATTGGGGAGTCGCTGTGAGCCAGGGAAGAGCTCTCAGACATGGTCCAGGAGTCTGGACGACTCTACAGAGGCCCCATACCCCTCAGACCCACCCCTGCCTGAAGTTTTGGGGCAAAGTGACTAAGAGCTCCACTTCCCCTATCAACGGTCCGTGCCAGCAGGGCTGGGTGACCCTAGGAGGGTCTATGTCCTGAGTTTGAGAAGTCCATCCACTTCCCCACTCTGGAGTTCAATTTCTGCGCCCTGACCTCAGCTTACCCTTAAGGGAAGTGGCCAAGTGGGATTTTCTGCTTCAGGCAAAGGGGAAGAGTTATTCCTCCCCCTTAGGAGCTGACACAAAGCTTGGGGCCAGGACAGCTTCAGTCCGGTTCCTCAAGGGTCCCAGAACCATACCCTTCTCTAGGCCTGTGATAGAGGAGGGGGAAGAGGAGGAGGGGACACAGCCCTGGAGAGGTGGCTGGTCTGAGGAAAGAGGAGGCAGGGAGGAGGACAGGCCCCAAGGTAGGGATTCCCCAGCCAAGGAGAAAACCTGGGCTCTGCCCTTGGTGGCTCCCAGGGTGGAGGGGGCAGATGTGGGACCTCAGAGCCATCCCATGCCCCCAAAGAGGCTGCTTGAGTCTTTCAGGGGGACTTGTGCCAGGGCACCTGAGAACCCCCTTTCTCAGTCTACTGCTCCTTCTGGCCCTGGGGGCTGGACAAAGTTTCAGAGACTTCTCTCCAGTTCTTGGGAAGGGGTGGCCACTGGGTGGGGTGTGGAACTGTGGAATCCTCTTTGTGGGGGCCAGCATGACAGGCAGGACCAGCTGTCCTAGTAGGCTTCCCACATCTGCCTTCACCATCAGGTCCCTAGGGCTGAGTAAGGTGGGCCTTCAGCACATCCGGGAGACTTTCATCTCTCAGATCCCCCCAGAGATCCCTGCTCTGTGTGTGTGTGTGTGTGTGTGTGTACACTGAGTGGGAGCATCTGTGTCTGCCTGGTGCGGGTCAAGCTGTGCATCTGCAGAGGAGGGCTGGTGGGAGTGTTAGGAGGGCCAGCAGGCCAGGCACCCTGGGCGTGAGGCTGCTGAAAGGCTCAGTGGTGGTGGTTGACGGCTGGGTGGCAGAGAGCTGAGACATCTGTTGCCCATGCGGCTGCCTGTCCAACGAGGAAAGGCTACACAGTCAGCAGAGGCTAGCAGTGGCTGCTCCTTCGTTGTTAGGCACTGATCCGGTGATGCAGGTTCCTCGCAGACAGGCAGTTTGGGAGAGGGGTTTGCCTGGAAAAACTTCTCTTGTCCCCCAAAGTCACATGGCAGTAGCCCAGACCCAAGGAGCCAGGATGACTGAACATGGGTTAGGGTGGGATTTGGGAAGATTTACAGAGCAGGGAAGGCACAGGCCACAGCTTGCCTAGCAGGTACCTCAGGGGAAATGCTACAAAGACTGATGATATATGGGAGTATCCTTACCAACGGGCATCCAGAGCCTCTCCTACCCAGAGCCCAGTAGGAAGGGACAGCCTTGTGCAGACAGGGAGGAAGCCGACTGTCTAGCAGGGCAGGGAGCTTGCAGTCTTGGCCCAGGAAGCCTTTGGGATCCCCAAGAACAACGTACAGGACTTCTTCCCTATAGACAAACAGTAATGACGGCTGGCCTTTTCCAAGCATCACAGTGTGCCAGGCCACACGCACCCTATCGGACATTGGTACTAGTATTTCCCCTGCAAACAGTCCTTGGAATGAGCGCTGTTGTACGCCCAGTCTCCTGTAGAGATGTCACATGCCCTGATTATCTCTGAGAGCCCCCATATCAGTCTTTAGAAGGCTCCCTTTGTCCGCACATTGTAGATGGGGATCCTAAGGCACAGAAAAGTTAAAGTATCCAGAGAAGTAGGGTATGGACAGGAATCCAGCACTGTCTGGAGCTTGCTATGAGTGTTTGGGATGATATGACCCTCTGTGGCTCCCACTCACCACAGACTTCTGGCTGGGTGGGGCAGGGGCTGGAATGCAGCAGGTGAGGGGGCTGATTCATGCCTAGCTCCCATCTGACCTCACCCTTGTCTCTTGTCTGGCCAGCTACCCTGTATTCCACAGCTAGATGGATTGATCAAATTCCACTCCATCCTGTGATTTCCTTGTTTAGAACCTTTTGAGGTTCTCAGCCCCCATGAGAAATGCCAGGTTTTCACCCAGGACCTATGTCTTCTCTGACTTGGTCTCTCTCACTTGCCCTTCACTAATAGTGCTATAAGCTTCCTTCTTTTCCTAGATAAATCCTATGTACATGCTGGACTTCTACCTGGAATGTTCTTTCTGTCTCATTCCCTTTTCACAGCAGTTAATAGGGTAGGCTTTGATTTGGGCTCAGCTGCCTAGGTTGGAATCCTGACTCCTCCATCTGTTAAACATTTCTCTGAGCTTCTTTGGACCTCGGTTTCCTAGTCTAGGAAATGGACTTGCCTTGAGAACTCAGGAGACAATGCGTGTAAAGGCAACTTGGGAGTCACGGTTTCCTGGCTTCGCGCCCTCCTTGACCAGAACTCTCAGAGCTCAATGGAGCTGGCCACATCCCAGCCACCCCTGCTTCCAGGAACTTCCTCCGCCTGTAGGGACCTGAATGCACCCCTTGTGCTGGCTGAGTCATCTTGCAGCTAGCTGCCCCCCAAGGAAGAAGACTCCTGTCCACGTGGGGCCTGGGGCAAGGTGCCCCTGCTCCAAACCCCTCTTTGTTCATCTTTAGGTAGGAGTGAGAACAGCTTTGGCCTTACCTGGTGACTGAGAGATTGCCCTGAGCCAGTTATGGTAAAGGGCAGGGAGCCCTGAGCAGAGCCTTGAGAGAATAGGATGGGATGCTGCCAAGTGGGCACTTGCCCCAGGAGAACAGGCTTATGAAGGTGCCCAGGCCAGCAAGTGAACCTTTATTTATGATGGGCTGGTTGGCTAGGGTGTCATGGTTTAGATGAGAAACTGAAGGAAATGAGATGGCTCCGTTGGTAAAGTGATCACTGTACAAACAGGAAGACCTGAATTCAATCCCCAGACCCCACATAACAACCAGCTGCAGGTGTGGGGCTTGGGAGACAGCTCAGAGAGCAAAGTGCTTGCTGTGCAAACATGAGGACCTAAGTTTGGATTCATGTAAAACCTGGATATGGCAAAGTATGCCCGTAACCAGTGCTGGGGTGGGCAGTGTTAGGTGGTTCCCAGGGGCTTGCTGGCCAGCCAGTCAAGCTAAAAATGGTGAGCTCCAGGTTCAGTGGGAGTCTTTGTCTCGAAAAATACGGTGGAGAGTGATTGAGGAAGACACTTGATGTCAACCTGTGGCCTCCACACGCACACACATGTGTATAGACACACACACACATGTTTCTTGAGGCAGCCTATTTCAGAGCAAGGAAGCTTGGGCAGTGCCCACACCAGGCCTCTAGCCAAGGAGGTGCCAGCATCTCAGCATTGTCCACTCAGTATTGGAAACTGGCTGAGCTGAGCCTGCTTGGGCTGCCAGGAGCCCCAACCCCTGCTGATAGCTCTTGGGCCACAGCAGAGTGCTGACTGCTGATGCTGGGCAGGAATAAGGAGCCTTTGTCTGTTTCCAGAGTTATGTTGGGGGCTGAGGCCTAGGGAAGTGCGCCCTGCTGCCTCAGTTCCACTGGGTTCTTACTGAGATTGCTCTGTGAGTCTTTCCCCATCCCTGTCACATGACCTTCATCAGATGACCAAAAGTGCTTGACTCTGTTGGGTCAGTAAAGAACACTAGGGCATTCTACAGGGAAGTTGAGATGGACTTATAACCCCAGAGTGCAGGCTGGAACTGGATGGCTTTGAACTGAGAAGTGATGTACACACCTCCTTTTAATTATAACAAGACATTAACAACACAGGAGGTCAGAGTTGGTAATGAGGGCGCATGGAGTACTCTCAGAGGAAGGGGGTTCTGTTCTGAGACCTGAGGGAAGAGGAGTGAGCCAGTCAGTAAGAAGGGTTACAGAGTCAAAATAGGGTTCCAGGTGGAAGGAGAGAACATTTGGGAAGGGACACAAGTGCCTGACAGGTGTTCAGATGGGCTAGGCACAGTGAGGCAGAGCAGGTGAATGCATGGTGGATGTGAGCGGTGGGATTAAACAAGTGGGGTCCAGGACTGCTCTATAGTCCGACTGGGTAGGCATCATCTGTGTGAAATATTCAAGCCATGTTTGTGTACCATATATTTCTATGAGCACGTATATCCCTATGTGTCTGTGTGCCCCTTGCATGTCTTTAGTGTACCTAAGCATGATGTAAAAGTAGCACTCCACTTGTCCCAGGCCAGAAGAAGCCCCTCTTATAGCCTTATACCCAAGTAGGTCTTCAAGGGGAGTCGGACGTTTTGAAATTAGAGGCTACGCGGCCACATGGGGATCTCAGCCAGCCTCTTGGCTCACCCACCCACAGGTCACACTGGCACAAGGCCACACTGGCCAGGTTCTGAGGTTGGAGATGTAGAGCAGTAGGCCACATAATAACTGTGCCAACTATCTGGCTTGTCTGACCACAGGTCCATGCTGGCAGTAAGGCTGCCCTGGCTTCCCTGTGCCCAGGTGACCTGATCCAGGCCATCAATGGAGAGAGCACAGAGCTCATGACACACCTGGAGGCGCAGAACCGCATCAAAGGCTGTCATGATCACCTCACACTGTCTGTGAGCAGGTACACATGGGGCAGGCTGGGCTGGGAGGGTAATGGGAGATGGGCTGGCCAGTCTAGGTGAGCTAAGCCAACACAGCCTGTCTGCCTCAGCTCCTGGACACCCCCATCCAGGCCCATTTCTAGGAAGAGGTGTTGTCATGGGGCCTGAAAGGCACTGTTTACAGCTGGGATTGGCCTTTTCAACTCAGGGCTCAAAGTGCCTTAGGGCTCTTGTGGCAGATGTCCCATGCAGCAGAAGCAAGACCTTGAAGCCGGGCTTGGTGACACACCTGTAATCCCATCACTTGGGAGGTTGGGATAGGAGGATCAAGAGTTCAAGGTTAACCTAAGCCATATAATTAAGATCCTGTCTCAAAAAAAAAACAAAAGAACAACAGAAAACACTTCAGTCCTGTCCCCAATTCCAATGGACCTGTGTGATGACCATTTCAAAGAAGTTTTGAGTATAAATACCTCATCTTCAAACCAACTTGAAAAATGTAAAACATAGTATAGGCCCCACTTTACAGATGAAACCACCAAGGGTCAGAAAAGATAAAGGGTGCTTAAAGTCACAAAACCAGGCAGTAGGGAAGGAAAGCAAAATTTAACGCCAGGTCTCTCTTGCCCTAAAGCCTCAAATCCCTCTGGTTGGCTGCTGACGCGTCCGACCATCCCCACAGCTGCTCTGCCTCAACAGCTGTCCCTACCATTATCTGTGCCTCTGCTCTGGTTAAATCTGGATTTGGAACAAGCATTCCTCCCGTGGACTGTGTAATGCTGTGCAGCCCATCAGGAAGGGAAGGCAAATAGATCGTCATACCCCAAAGACGGTGCTGAGATAAAGGTTCAGGCCCCTGCCTTGCTCCAGTCCTGGCTCTTTAATCAGTTCCCACTGGCAATTGGCTTAATTCTGGCTGAGTGGAATCTCCCCATCCCCCTGCCATGCTTGGTCCAGAGAAATGAGACATAACTGCTCAGCTTTGCCACGTTCGCTGCTAACAGGGACTTTCCACGACCCCCTGTGGATCTGTGTGGGCGAAACCTCCCCAAACCACAACACAGTTAACCCATGCTGGAGAGCTGGCAGGTCGGGATTTGATCCATTGGCTCAGAGCCTTTAAACACAGTGAAGTTTATAATGTAGCCCCTGTTTGTGCCCAGCCCTTGACCAGGTCCACATTGGGGGTCAGGAACCCTGACTATGTCCTTGGCTGTGAGTGGACCCAGCTACAAATCCAGGGCCTTGTGCTTTATTTCACACAGCAAGGACTCCCTAGCCTAGGATTTCAGCAAAACCGATCCTCACCTAGACTATGTGATCCTAGATACCAGATGACCTCCAGGGGCCTGGGTTTCCTTTCCCATAAAGCAGAATCACTCCTCACTCTCTGCCAGCCTGAGGCATTGCTGGTTGGGGGAAGCATCAGCACTGCTCTGCCCACAAGTGGCCTCTGAGGCCTTCCCTCTTGGCTGAGTTCCTGGGTCCTGACTCACCTCTGGCTTTGCTTTCTAGCTGAATGAGGGCAGCCCTAGGGGTGGTAGAGCTGGGGGGAGGCTTGAAGGGACCTGAGTCAGGAGATTCCCAGAGAGAATGATGTCAGAGAGGGTGGCCGGGTGGAGATCCTCCTTCCTTCCTTCCTTCCTTCCTTTCTTTCCCAGTCATTTGTTCCAACCCAGGCATGGACAGAGCCATAAGGTCCCAGAGTAAAGGAGAGCACATTGTTCACATTACAGACCTAGGCTCTAGGGCCCCCCTGCACTTAAGAGCCATGTTGTCCTCCAGCAAGCGCATTACCCCCGGGTCCTGAACTTCTTCAGCCTAGATCAGGGACTGACTTATAACTTGGCATTGAGTGGTGAGGAGATACCAGGCTTGCTCAGAGTGAAAACCCGAGGCCTGCTCTCCCTCCACCATCTCCAAACGTCACATACCAGAATCAGGGATAAGACAAGGCAGCCACTTTTACCCTCAGCCCAACATTCTGCTGGACACTTTCCCACCTACAAAGCCTCTGCACCGGCTCCCTGTCCTACCTGTTGCTCAGGGCTTATGCCTGGGCCCCAGACACCCCTTCCACCTACTTTATCAGCTCTGTGGAGGGTCAGCCTGGTGAGCTGGCTAACGTGAGCAACCTGGCAGTGTATTCAAACCATCTTCTCTGCCTGCTCTCCAATGCCCCACAGACTGACATGTGGAGGAAAGGTCTCCCTTCTCAAGTAGGTTTAGTTTACCTGGAACCAAAGCCAGACATCCAGTAATCCAAGTTAAGTTAAACCCCTTAGGCCTGTTCTGCAGATAAGAGCTCTCCTCATACCAACCGCAGCCCTACCTCCGATAAAGTCTCTGTTGCCATCACGTGGTACCTTTGCATAGCCCAATCTTGGCTTCTTGTTTTATTTATTTAAAGATGGGCAGCTGTAGTCGCCGGCGCAGCCTGAAGTAGAGGGCTGGAATGGAGGTCAGTGACTACCTAAGCATTTGTTCTTGCCCGGCACTTTGGGTTACTCTCATGACACCGAGTGCCCTCTGACCCTTAGGTCTCAGGCTTGTGCTTCTGAGCAGAAGATCATCTTACAGGATGTTTCCGATTTGTTTTACTGGAGTTCTGAGCAGGCAGAAGGTATAGTTAGAACTGGGAGTTAGGGGAGTCACCCAGGAACCTAGCTGAAGGGCTAGAGGGAGAAGTTCTGGGGAAAGAGCTGGCCCCCAGAGGGCTGTGAGGTAGAGAATGGACAGAGGCCAGGGAGCCCAGAGTCAATGTGGACAACAGGTAAAGAGTTAAACCCCGCATCCAACCATGGGAAGGAGGCAGGATTGAGCTATTATGCTAGTCAAGAGTCTTTGAGAAGCCCCAGGAGGCCTCATTGGTTGGTGACATTATTTCCATGGTCTAACCAGCCTCACTACACATTGCCTGCTAGCCCAGGGTCCACATATCTTCCTGGCTTGCCTCTCACAGAGCTACTGAGCAGCAGGGCTGGGCCAGCAGCCTCTAGACCCGCCTGCCTTGCTTATGGCAGGTTTACGATGTTTTTCTCCCTCCTGAGTGGTGTTTGGCTTTTGGTTTCTATGGCGAAGCAGGAATTTCCTAATGGCCTGTTTCCCATCTGGGCTGGGCAGACATCAGTGATGACTCTGCTGGGGTGGGTGGATGCAGCAGGAGGGGAGGTGCTCCCAAAAGCCTCCATTTCACCTCCCTGAGAGCCACCCAGGCCCTGGCCAGAAGCTGTGAAGGTCAGGGGATGAGTGGACTGGCTCCTGGCTAATCCATGTGAAGCCTGGCTTGCTTGCTGCCATCTGAGCCTCCTAGAGTGGGTCACAGAGGGGTGGAAGAGGGGCAAAGCTGCAGGACCTCTGCTGCAAGCTCTCCAGGAACCAGACCGGAGAGGGATGAGGCCACTGGCGGGGGAGGGAACACACCCTGCCACCCTAGGAGGGTGGTAGATCTGAGCTTGTGGCTCCTTGCTGCAGAAGACACCACTGGGCTAAAGGAGAAAATACTGGGGTGGTGTCCTCCCTGCTCTGAGTCCCAAGGCCAAACACCTCCTGTCCCTGGTTCCCAGACATGATGGACATGTTAGGCAGGTAGACCTGATCATCCCATTTCCTGCTGCAGGCCTGAGAACAAGAGCTGGCCCAGTTCCCCTGATGACAAGGCTCAAGCACACAAGATCCACATCGACCACGAGGCCCAGGTATGCACAGACACTGCTGGCCTGGCTCACAGTGAGCCCAGGGCAGAGAAGCCAGGCGTGGCCCACAGCTTCGTCTGTACTGGCAGTTCTCACTGTGACCCTCAGAGACCCAGGACAGATACTGAAGGAGAAAGCTTCTCTGGGCCATGCCTACCTCCTCCATCCCATGCTTCTGAGGTAGTGAGCACTGCAGTGGGCTCTATCCCCACCCTGAGCAATCTTGGGTTCTTGGCAAAGGGTGCCTGTGATGGGCTGGGACTGGGTTAGGCCTTGGCTCAGTGTCGTTCCCCCCTCCCAGCCCCCACTGAGCTGAGGGCTCACTCCCCTACCCAGCAGTGCCAGATCAGGAAAAAGTCAACAGGGTTGGTGATAGCGGGGCTGGGAGTGGCAGCCTCCAGCTCTGAGGGATCTCCTTACGTAGACTTGTAAGCCCTATCTGAGGCTAGAGAGCTTTCCTGGCCATCCTATGATTCCAACTAGCCAGTCACCAGCTGCAAGCCTGCCTGCTCAGTCATCTTATGTCAGATAGAAGTTGCAGCTATGGCCCTGTATGCAGGAGAGTAAAGGAACCAAGCTGTTGTGTGACCTCATGAGAGGATTAGCCAAGTGTCCCAGACTCAGCATCCCTGGGCAAGGTGGTCCTGGGCTATTCTGTGATTGTGGTATAGCTAGAGCCTTAGCACCCAACATGTGGGGTGTGGCCTCCTGGGCCTGCTTTTGTCTGCTCTGCATAAGGAAGGGAGAGGAGATTTCAATAGAGGTCCAAGAACACTCCCTGGAAGAGAGGTATCTAAGCCCAGACTTGAGGACCTAGGACAAAGGAGGTAGACAAAGGGTCATGGGAGGAGGACATGTGCTCAGCAAGCACATACAAGGGCCCAGAAGTGAGACTGTGTCATCAGTTCAGAGATCAGAAAGGAGGGAAGGCAGGTAAGAGGGCAGGATGGGGGTGGGCAGAGGATGAGGTAGGTGATGGGGCATGGCCACTGAAAGGCTCTTAGGGTGCTCCATCTGGAACTTCAGCTGTATTCATGTCACATCTGTGTCTCAGAAGCCTTCTTCAGTTTATCCAAGGCCCTAGGAGCAGAGAGGAGACAGATTTGGCTCAGACAAAGCATCCAGGCTGAAGAGGCAAGCAGTGCCTACAAGAGGCCCAGCTTCCCTGGGGCACCAGTGGCAGGACAGACAGGATCCACATGTGTTCTGGGTGTGAAGCTGAGCCGTACCCAGTCCTTTCCAAGAGGCTCACAGTTGGTGGGCCTGGAGGGCGGGGAACTATAGAGCAGCTCTCCCATGGTGCTGGGAAGTTGAGGTGCTACTGAGGAGCAGATTCCCCTGCCCCCACACTTTCCCTCACAGACTGCTTTTGAAGACTATTATCCCCACAGAGGCGGCCCCAACTGGATGGGGAATGATTTTCCACAAACAACAGAGCAGCCCCCTAGCCTCTGTCCCCCTTTTGTACTTAAAAGGTCATGGGCTCCATGGGTGGTGATGAAAACACCCCCACCCGGCCCCTGCAGGGCTGTGTCCTCACTAGCACAGACACAGGGCTCATTGTCCCCACAACTGTCCCCACCCTCTGCATGTGGGGGGTAGCGCCAGCTGGCACCCTCAGAGGAGGAGGAAACCATAGTTAGCCCTAGGCCAGCACAGGGCATCCACGGAATGTTTCCCCACATGGCGTTGGGCAGAGCCACTGCAGCTTCAGGTTTACCCTCTCTGTGGGGCCACAAGATACCCTCCTCTTCTCAAGCCCCACGTGGGAAACCAGGGGGCATGTGGGTCACCTAGGGTGGGAGAACCACAGCACCAAAGAAAGCTGTCCTGGAACGGGTGGTGGTGATGCTGAGCTACGAGACGGTCTACATAGAAGCAACCCAGGTGAGTAGGGTTGCATACCCAGCCCAGTAAGAGAGCTCAGACTCTGCCTCAGGGCCACCTGCCTGCTCATCTGGGAGCCGTGGTCACCTCCAGTCACACTGAGTGTCCCACGTTCTGTCTTTAGTCATGTGGGCACTGATGAGCTAGAACCTTGTCAGTGCTGTTCTGCTGAGGTGCCAACATCTATACCAGCAAGAAGCTGGAGCTGAGTGTGGGGGACACAGGGTATGAGGTAAACCACCATCCGAAGAGGGGAAATCCAGGAAAGGACCCTACAGAAAAGGAATCCCTGCGGCACTCATCCAGCCTGGCACCACGCTAAGCGCCCCGCATGTAATCATCTTGCTTTATCCTCCACCAAGGAGCCTATGATACAGAGACCATCACATTCTCCAGCTCACAGATGAAGAAACTGGGCTTCAGGAAGGTGAAGTGATGGAACTGCAGCTCACACAAACACTGAGGTCATCACTTGAGTTCAGACTTAAGAGAAACCACTGCCTGGGTGGCCACAGGAGGGGCTGTACCTCACTGATGACCCCCGCAGTCGGCTCCCACACCCTGCTGGGTGGGGGGAGTGAGTGAGGTCCTCTATCCGCCCAGACTCTGGTTCCTTGACTCCCACTCCCCTTTTTCCATTGAAGCTTTGTGCAGAGGCCCACCCCCACCCCCACCTACCACAACCCATCTGGTCCCTATTAGAGGCCAGCCCTGTCTGCCTGCCTGCTTACCCTGCAGACACATATGTGAGACTGCTCAGGTTTCCAAAGGCTTTCGTTGGGCCTGATGGGGGAGTGGGCAGTGGTGACGGTGGCTGCTGCTTTGATGGGCTCTACCTGGGCATTAAGCCTCTCATTTTTATTGAGATTTGGCAGGTAGGAGGTGCCCCACCCAACTGGTTCTGCCCAGCAAAGAACAGAGGCTTGGCTGGAGGCTACCTGAGCCCAAAAAGGCTCTTCCCTGCTAGGGGAGGTCCCTTTCCCTCATCACTCAGACCCCTGTTCACAGTGCAGAGCAGAAAGGTGTGTATATCACCCTCCTCCTGGCAGAGGCTGAGACACATCCCACAGCCTGAATTTGAGCCTCACCCCAAATATCAGGCTGTTCTGCCTACCAGCCCAGTATTAGCTACCACAGCCCTCCCCAGGGTGACCAGTGCTGGCCTCCAGTGTGTGAAACCATGCATATGTGATCAGGTATATGGGGGTAGACTGGCTGGTGTGTATGTATTGTCCTAACCCATGTATACATCTTTAAATATGCTTGTGAGTATGCATGCCCCTGTTCACATTGCTGTGGGTATGCTTATGTGCACATGGACTGAGGTCAGGATGGCTTTGGACTCTGCAGAGACGTAGACCCCCAGACACCACTCAGACCCACACCTCAGAGCCCTTCCCTGACCTCATAAGCAGAGGGATATGCTGAGGCCACTTCTCCCTGGCTGACCTTAGGGTCGCAAGGCCCAACCTCTGCCCTGTGTCTGCTCTGTCCCTAGAAGGCTGCCTGTTGTCACCTCCCTCGGGAGCAGGAAGTAGAGCTCAGGCCTAGGGGAGCTATCTTCAGAGTAAGCAGTGCCCTTACACACCAGACTGCCCCCTGAAGTTTCTTCACGCAGGCACGAAGGGTCCTTCCCAGCTATAAGACAGGAGTTCCTTTCTGTGTTCCCAGCTGGTGTCTAGTAAAGTTCTGGCATCAGAACCAGACACACACACACACACACACACACACACACACACACACACACACACACACACATATACACACTGTTGCGGCTACACTGGCCTTGAAAGGCTTCTTGGAATGGACTTGTCCAACTCATTCCTTGGGTGTTGATGTGCAGGGTTTAAGAGCCCAGGATGTATTTCAAGTACTCAGGTGTTTATACATCTGACTTTCCACATGCATTTCTCATTTCTATAATGGTTGAACTAGGCTTATGACCCAGCCCTTCTCCCATAGATCCCTTTGCTGGCTGGGCACAGCCCAGAGATGTCAGAGCAAAGGTACTGAACTGATATGGAGACCTGGCACAGCAAGGTGGTGTGGCAGGGGTAGGGGGTATTTGTGAACAGGAATGGCCAGAGATCAGAGGGCCTCCCAGTATCTCAGGCCTCACTTTTACAGGATGGCAGTCCAGTGACCAGCAGGCGGTCCTCAGTCACAGGGATTGGACTGGAAGATAGCAGATCAAGCCTGGGATCTCCATACGGGCAGCCACCTCGCCTTCCAGTCCCTCACAATGGCAATAGCAATGAGGCCACTCTGCCAGCCCAGATGAGTGCCCTGCATGTGTCTCCACCCTCCAGGTAACACAGAGGCCTGACCTTTAAAGCCATACCCAGATCCATCCTAATCCCTTCAATCTTGACCCCTGACATTTGCCGTTTAGGCCTTCCATGGTATTCTAGTTTGATTTGCTATTGCTGGGATAAACCACACTGACAAAAAAGCAACTTGGGGAAGAAAGGGTTTATTTCACCCACAGTTTACAGTCTGTCATAGAGGGAAGCCAGAGCAGGAGCTCAGGGCAGGAACCTGGAGGCAGGAGCTGAATCAGAGACCATAGAGGAGTGTTGCTTACCGGGTTGCTTCCCCCTAGCTTGCTCAGCTACCTTTCTTAAATAGCCCAGGCTCACCTGCCCAGGAATGGCACCACCCACAATGGGCTGGACCTGCCCACATGGCTTAGTAATCAAGGAAATGCCCCATAGTCAGGGTCACAGGCCAATCTGATGGAACAAAAAAGAGGCTCCCTGTTCCTAGGTGTGCCGAGTTGGAAGATGAAGCTAGCCAGCACACAGGGTTATGTTCAGACTTATAGAAAGCCTCACTAGTTCCCTACCCACCCCCAAGCCATCAGAACCTAGGCTAGAATTGCTGCTCCACTCTGGCCCTCCATCTCCCTCCCTCCCAGCACTGATCCAGCCAGAGTTCTCCCTCGGAACCGGGACTGCAGGGTAGACCTGGGTTCAGAGGTGTACAGGATGCTAAGGGAGCCGTCAGAGCCAACAGCCTCAGAGCCCAAGCAATCTGGCTCCTTCCGCTACTTGCAAGGCATGCTAGAGGCCGGTGAAGGTGGTAAGACTCCCCACACCTTACCTTATCTGCTTCCCCTCTCCCTGCAGAGCCCCAGCTCATGCTCCCCACCCCCACCCCAACTTGTTCCATGTCTCCAGCCATTTGCCTTTCTTCCACTCATTCCTGCATCTTTACCATCCCTGCACCTTCACCCTCAGATTTCCACTCCATTGCCCTGTGGGTACCCCTGGCCACATACCATCCACCCCCCAGTCTTCTGGCCACTAGGGCCTGGAAGCAGCATTCTACAGAAATGGAGTTCTCACTGCCCTGCCATTCATGCCACCTGCACTCTGATTTTCAGGGGAGCGACCTGGATCTGGTGGTCCTCGGAACATCAAGCCAGCCGCCAGCAAGCTGGGTGCTCCGTTGAGCGGCCTTCAGGGATTGCCAGAGTGCACACGCTGTGGTCACGGGATTGTGTGAGTACCCACCCTGTCCACACCAGCACAACCCCAGCTCTGCTCTCCAGAGCCCTAGATAGGGACTTGTCCAAGACTCTGTTAGTCACCATACACTGTCTTCCTGGTTCCCTCCAACAGGGGCACCATCGTCAAGGCCCGGGACAAGCTCTACCACCCTGAGTGCTTCATGTGTAGTGACTGTGGCCTGAATCTCAAGCAGCGAGGTTATTTCTTCCTGGATGAAAGGCTGTACTGTGAGAACCATGCCAAGGCACGAGTCAAGCCACCCGAGGGCTATGATGTGGTGGCCGTGTACCCCAACGCCAAGGTGGAACTTGTTTGAATGAGGACACCTTGCACCCCCCTGCTTCATTTAATGTCTCTGCGTGGCCCCGTGTAAATATGTTTCCCCTGGCCTCTCTAATAAAGTCCCTTTGTGCTCTCTGGAACCAGTTGGTGTCCTGGCCTGCCCACCTCCAGCATAGGCTGTGGCTCCCATGTGCTGTAAGATCAGTTCAGGTGCCCAGCTTGCCCTCGACACTGGGTTCAATGTTGAGCAAGATAGGCCTCATGCTGTCCTGACAGCCTAGGTGGATGGCAGACTGAGTCACAAGGGACAGCTTTATTTAATACTGGATCTGGTGTCACAGTGTAGCAAGCTATCTGACCTGGGTGCCGTTGGAGATGTCAGCTAAGAACTAAGATGAAGGAGGCAAGAGTTCTCCACAAGTTAGACAGCAAAGGTAAGCATGGACCGCAGAGACCTGGCATGCCTATTGGCATGAGCAGGCAAGGGTGGCCCCTAGTGACCTCTATGTGTGGTACCCACTTCCTGGTGCTCTCCATCGCCACCACATCCCTCTCTTTCCTCTTCCTCCATCCTCCCACTAGGGGGCACACTTGATTTTTCAATAGTGATGAAGTTTTTTTTAAGAAAGAAAAGAACAGGTGGGGCTAGAGCTATGGCTCAGCTGTTAAGAGCACTGACTGCTCTTACAGAGGACCCAGGTTTGATTCCCAGCACCCACATGGTGGTTAACAACTGTCCGTAATTCCTGTTCCAAGGGGTCTGACGCTGTCTTCTGACCTCCACAAGTCAGTGCACTTACACACATGCAGGCAATGCACTCATACACAAAAATTAATAAAAATATTTTTTTTAAAAAGTAAAGAGAATGTGCCAGGCCTTCCTTCCCTTCTGAGATACTTAGTCCTCTCTCCAAAAGCAAGGGAAATCCCATGCTCCTCAGAGGCCCCCCAGCCCCCATGAAGTGGGGTCTGCTTTGACCTTCCACCTTTCCATTACACATATGAAAAGACTCTCGCTTTTAGAAAATATAGAAATTAGGTGAATGACTTTCCAGAAAACAACTGTCCTGCATTCTAGGCCTGTGGACCTACCTCCCTGCTTGCTCGGCATGAAAGACGCCTCATTTATTTCACAAGCCTGAACAATGTACGTTTGTGCTGTAGATTCTGTGCTATCGCAGGCCACAGAAGGCTGCTTTCAATTTGCATTCTACCTATCTGTGTGCAACAGGACCTATTGCTTCCCTCTCACACGTGTTTTCAAATTCTTTAACCCCAGAAATAAAGTGCAGCATGTTGTAGTTTTAATTTTTCACTTCTCTGATTGCCAATGATGTGCATTTAATCATTGAACAACCTTCTACCACTGTGTGCTTGTGTGTGTTCACTGCTGAAGGGACAGCTGGAAACAGAGTGGCCTTCACGCCCTAAGAGTAGCTCTTACCCTAAACGTTTCCTGCCTTTTCCCGAGTTGATTTAACTTCTTATTAATGATCACTAGGAATTTTTTATGCTTTTGTTTTAAACTGTGTGTAGTGTGTACGTGTTTGTCTCTGTGTGCGGATGAGTATATGTGGAGGCAAGGTGGACGTTGGGTGTTTTCTATTACTGTCCACCTTGTTTTTTGAGACAGGGTCTCTGACTGAACCTGGAGCTCAGTGATTCAGTGAGATTAGCTGGGAAATGAGTTCCAGGAATCCTCTGGTCTCAGCCTCTGTGACTAGGATCCCAGATGTGCACCACCATGTCTGGCTTTTTACATGGGTTCTGGGAACCTGAACCCAGGTCCTCACACTTGCACAGCAAGCACTTTACCAAACAAACCACTTCCCCAGCCCCTTGTCATACTCTTGCCGGAATCTTTGTTGCTGGGTTTTATCCCTCCGATCGACTTGCTGTTCCTATGATACTACAGTTTGAATTTTGACTGTGTTAGAGTTTAATAGTTAATCTCTCTGCTTGGTTTCCCCTTTCCAAACATGTCAAAGTTGTTCTTGTGCCTTTCCAGTAGTCAGTGACTAGATATGTCAGGCTCTGGAAATCAAACCTCTCTGAACCATGACTGGGGCGTTTCCTGAATCTAGAGAGAGAGCTTACATGGAGGTTTTTCCTCCAGAGGCACCCTGTACACCCCCAGAAAGTCAGCACTTCCATCTACCAGACCTCCATCCCATTCCTTCCTTTCTTGGTGCCTCAGGAACAACCTGTTTTCTTTGTCAGAGCCTAGCCTAGAGCTGTCTTACTCAGACCCCAGGCTAGGTGCTGGGAGGTGGTGGTGGGGGCTGGGAGATTCAGGGGGTAGGTACTGGCCAACACCTACTCTTCTAGTTGCTTGCTTCAAGTAAGTCCTGGGGGACAGCTGCCTCCCTCCTAAACCCCCAGCCTCATTTCATTCATTCAACTAAGAGCCTCCTATGTGTCAGGCATACTAGGAAAACATTTTGAACAAAGTAGAAACTGGGGCTGGGGGTATGGCTCAGTTGGTAGGGTGCTTGCCTAGTATTCACAGAGCTCTGGGCTCAATCCCCAGTGCCCAGCATGGCGGCACATGCCTGTGATCCCAGGACTAAGGAGATGGAGGCAGGAAGATCAGAAGCTCAAGATGATCCTTGGCTACATGGCAAGTTTGAGGTCAGCCTGGGCTACATGAGTCTCTCTCTCTCTCTCCTCTCTCCCTCTCTCTACACACACACACACACACAATACAAACCATAAACAGTATATAAAGGGAATACTCTCTCCTCTCTCCCTCTCTCTCTACACACACACACACACACACACACACAATACAAACCATAAACAGTATATAAAGGGAATAAAGACGATACTACAAAGGAGATTTATGTATTCACTGGAAAACCCTTGCAGAGCAGAGACCTGAGCTGGCAGTGGACACACATCGGATACCTTGGGAAGTTGCATTCCAGGGAAAAGGAACAGAAAAAGGGAATAGAAAGTGAAAAGTCCCTTGACAGGGGAGAGGAAGGCAGGCAGTGCTGGTAGTATTCTGGGAAAAGTGAAAAATGGCTGGAGAGGTGAGGTCGGAGAGAAGAGGGGTGGGTGGGAGAACCACCTTGACCTTATCGGCCTAGTCAAGGACTTTGGCTTACGTCCCAAGATGCAAAGCTAGGGAAATGGCATGACCTGGACTTACGATTTAACCAGGATCACTCTGGCTGCTGTGGGGCAGAATCTACAGTAATGGGCAAAGGTAGAAGCAGGGAGGCAGGTTAGCAGGCAAGACTGCGTTCCTCCCCAACTAATTCCTAACCAGCACGCTTGTCCTGCCTCCCAGGCTGCAGCCCCAATCCGGGCCCTCTGCACCTCCTGCCAGGGCCTTGTGACAGCCTGCACTTGGCATCCCTGTCTCCTTGCCACCCCTCCGTCATTTCCCCACACAGTAACAAAAGGAGGTTTGAAAACCGCGGTGCTGCGTCACTCCTGACTTGTTAAAGTCTTCATGGCTCTGCACTGCGCATAGCACAAAGTCTAAACTTCCATCTCCTGCTCACGAGGCCCAGTGAGGTCAGCCCTACTACCTTCAGTGATGCCAATTCTTGCACTCAGCTTCAAGCCCTCTCCAGATTCTCCCAGACTTCCTGACTCTGCAGAAGATGAAACCCAAACAGCCTTTCCTTCTGGTTCCCTGAATGACGTATAAACTTTATTATCCCTCACCTTCTTCCCTGGGAACCAAAGAAAGTGGCGAGGGCGGGAAAGGTCCAGATACTGCTTTGTGCTAGTTCTGCCCAGCCAAAGACCTAGCCCCTTGAAGAGTAGGTAACCTAGCCTGGCCCTGGGCTCACACCCCATGACATGGATGGGGATGGGGATGCTGTGACTTGTACCATGATGCTCAGAAACCAGGCTGCAGGCTGTAGGCGCTCTAAGTGTTTCCCCACACCATCTGGGGTGCATTCTGCCTCTCCTTTGATTTGTGGATCCCCCTTCAGCTATATGCACCCTAGTTCTGTCCTGGGAAGCTGGCTCTGGTACAGGTAACAGCTGCTTGTCCTTGTGCCCCAGGCTAATCCTTGACCTGGTCTTCCAACTAAGGTGTTCCAACTCTGGGTGTTGCTTAGTTATCCATTTTCCCACACGGTAATCTGCTCTGCTTTGCTTTGTTTTACAACCTATTCCTGAAGCTTTTTTCCTGCCCAGTATTTGGCTAGAACCCAGTTCCTTGTATGAGTTATAGCCTCCACATCTTTCCTTCAGCTTTCCTACCACTTACTCTCTTTTTTTAGACAGGGTCTCATGTAGCCCGGGCTATCCTCAAACCTGTTATGTAGCCAAGGTTGACCTTGAACTCCTGATCCTCCTGTGTTGACCTCCCAATGTTGGGATTACAGGCCTGTGCCACCACACCCAGCCCCCTTAGCATTTCTTAATGGAAGCAGAGCCTGTAAGAAAATATTTGAGAGTAGCTAAGGGTTGTCTGTAATTAACAAGAATTGCCCTGTGTACACCCTTTGCCACAGTGGAGAGCTGTATGTAGACCTCCAAAGAAACCAGACTTGATCTTCACTACAGTCTTACCCAGTCCCATTTGGACTGTAAGGCAGATAGAGGCCTGACTGGTTTCTGAAGGTCCTGGTGTTGGCCTCAGTCATGTGCAATCACAAACTCCATGTGCTGGATAGCTTTAGTGTCAACTTGACACACCTGGGCTGAGGGAGCCTCAATTGGAGAATTTCCTCTATTGGACTGGCCTGTGGCCATGTCTGAGGGGTCTCTTCTTGATGAGTGATGTGGGAGGGCCCAGCCCACTGTGGGTGGTGCCACCCATGAGCAGGTGGGCCTGTGTTGCCTAAGAAAGCAGGCTGAGCAGGGGCCAGGGGAGCAAGACAGTAAGCAGCATTCCTCCATGGCCTGTGTTCCAGCTCCTGCTTCCAGGTTCCTGCCCTGAGTTCCTACCTTGGGCTCCCTGATGAACTGTGACCTGGGAGCTGTAAGCTGAATAAACCCTTTCCTCCCCAAGTTGGTACTGGTCAGAGTGTTTTGTCACAGCAGTGGAGAAACAGACTAGGACACACCACTAGTCAGCTGGCCACTGAGTGTGTCTCTCTCCCCAGTCAGAGACTGAGAGGCTAGGGGCTGATGTACACCTGGCACTGGCTTCTTCAGCAGTGGATGGGTG